AATAGAATTAATATAAATTGTTAATTAAAAAGTTTGCTTTATAGATAATATCAGTTAAAATTTGGATTTTTTGTTTACTAGAGTTTTGACTAAGTATTTGTAGTTAAGTTTTAATTTATAAGTTTTATCAGATATTTGTTAAATATTTTTTTTTAAATAAATATTAATAAAATATAGTTTAATAAAAGTGAATAGTTGTTAGACAATAAGATTATTAAGTTTGTATTGTTTTTATAAAATCAGTTATTAGATATTCTTTAAATCAGTTAAGATTATTGCTAGTATCTTATTAGATTTTTTTTTTTGTTTTTGTTATTTTGAATAATGTTGTTTTTTGTTTTTTTTTAAAAGAAAAAATTTAAAAAATTAAATTTTTTCATTAAATTTCATTTGTTAGATTTTAATAAGAGCAAGAATTAGTTATTGTTTAAAACTAAAAGAAGAAATAATTTGTTTTTTTAAAGTTAGAAGAGAAAGTTTAAATATTAGATTAATTAGTTTTAATTTGATTAAGGCTGTAACTATTTGTTGCTAAAATGTAAAAGAAGAGGTTTGTGTCAAAGATTAAATTTAATATTTAATAAATCAGAAACACAAAGTCTATCAATTAGATTTTGTTTAAAGATTGTACAAATTGTATAGTTAGAAGCATAACTATATTGTTTTATAACCACACAAAAAATATTTTAAATTTTATATATAAGACATGTATAGTAGTATTAAGAGTGTACAATAATTGTAAAAGATATAGAATCTATTTGAAAACTAAAAAATAACATACAATGTTTAGAAGAGAAAAAATCAGATTATTGTTATTTATAAATATGTGATTAAAATAATTTATCAGAAATTTTTTTAAAATATTAAGTAGAGATAATAGAAGTAGTTTAATTTATAGATTACTCAAGAGATGTTGAATGAAGAATTCTATAAAACTAAAAAGTAAAACTAGTATAATATGTTTTATAAAGATATATAATAATAGTAGGTTATTAAAAAACTTTAAAATAATAATGTTTTTTAGAAGCTGTATTACAATTAATTAAATTAACATCTATAAAAAATATATATATAAATTAAGATTTTTTTTGATTATTTTTACATTATAGTAATATTTATATCTGCTATAATAATAGTTAATATTATAGAAGTTAAAATTTTTAGAGACTAAAATAGGCATAATTTAAAGTTTAGAAGATAAAAACAGAATAGATAACAGAGATTTTAGATATAAAGAGATCTAAAAAATATAAAATGTGATAGTTAAAAAAATGTGACAAATAATAAGATATGATATATAAGAGATATAACAAATAAATAAATATAACAAATAAGTAGCACAGAATATGCAAGTTTAGGTAATTACAGTGATTAATATTGAACAGAATTTTGTATTAATAAAACTAGAAATAGAAAAAGTCAAAATTTGTATTAAGTTAGTTAAAACAAAGAGTAAATTTATATAAATTAATTAATAATGTGAATTTTTAATAGAGATTGTAAGTGCTAGACATTCCAAAAGACAGAACCTTCTTTTTCAAAAAAAGAAAAAATTTTAGCAAAAAAAAAACAGAATTTTTGTAAGAGAATTATAAAGATTTTTTGTCTAAAAGCTTTAATATTAATCTAATATTAATGTATAATATATCAAAATAAAGCTCTAAATAAGTTTTATCTTTTTGTTTTTTTAAATATTAAGGTAAGTACTTGTAATTTAGGATTTTATTAATAGTATATTTGGCTAATAGATGTATTACAACTACAGACGGCAATTATGAAAAAAGTGTACAACTAGCTACTTATACAACTTTAGTTATTGTCTAAATTAAGTAGTCTGCTTGAAAGTTCTACACTAGTTGCCATACCTGAAACCTGCTTGTAGATTCCCTATTTAACTATTCTAGTTTTTGTATTTACTTATCTATCTCTGCCTATCAATAATCTTAGCCAATACTGATGAAAATATGTCATAGCCACTAAGTCTTTAAAGAAGTTCTTTGAAACTTTTAATCTTGTACTAAACCTTTTAGAATCTTCTGAATCCTATTCTTACAACTGACTCGATATTACTATAGCTAAGACTAACACTGGTGATTAGAATGTACTATTAAACCATTATACCTTTGTAGAGTTTACTCTAACTCTGGTACTGACTTTACAACATATCCTTACTACTTTGGTATTCAATTCAAATACTACCAAGCTGTCATTTCAGATAGTCCAAAAAGGTAGGTTATAATTATACATCTTTGGTTTACATGTTTGCTAGCATGTACTCTTTTTCTCTAAAATTTAAAAATTCTAGTAGCCTAGTTGATTTATCTGGTTCTTCTTTAAAGACTAGCATGTTTGTCTGGTTTTACAAGTTCTAGCTTTGTTTCATAAGTCTAGTTTTTATAGTAGTACTATTGAAAGTTTGAGTTACCTCTCTACTTAGGTCTTCCAAGTAAGCTTCTGTCTTTTTACTTAGTTCTTGTGATTTATATAGTCTAAGAACTTATCTTGGGTTCACACTGCCCAGTATCAGTTTGTGTTTCTTTGTACAATGTTGTACAAGTGCCTAGATCTTTCAGTCATACTTGTATGACACAGGTTACAGGTATCTAATCCTAACCAATCACAGAAGACAGTTAATTATAATACAGAAAGAATTGCAAATTTTTGCTATTAATGAAATTTGAACTCTAGACCTGCTACTTGGAAATTGATAACTTATCTACTTCATTAGATTGCTACACCCTCAGTTCTGTCTTTTTGTTTTAGATAGCAACTAAGATTAGCTTAATAAAATATTAAAATATTTTTAAAAAAATATCTTGTAATTTAAGAAATATTTTATTATAAAAGATTCAGAAGATATAAAACTAGGTTACTTATATGTAAAATTATAATATGAACAATTTTATTTATTTTTTTAAATATTAAGGTGAGTACTTACAACTCAGTATTTTATTGATAGTATATTTAGCTAATAGTTGCATTACAACTACAAAAAACAATTATAAAAAGAGTATATAACTAACTATTTTTATAACTTTTAGTTATTGTTTAATTTAAGTAGTCTGCTTAAAAGTTTTATACTAGTTGTTATATTTGAAACCTACTTGTAAATTTTCTATTTAAACATTTTAGTTTTCATATTTATCTAATCTGTTTGCATCTACCAAGATATCCTAGTTAATACTAATACAAATATGTTATAATTACTAAGTCTTTAAGATAGTTACTTACATAAGAACCTTTGATTTTGTATTAAACCTTCTATAATCTTCTGTATCTCATTCTTATAACTAATCTGATAATGCTATGATCTAAACCAACACTTGTGATCAGAGTGTACTATTAAATTACTATAGTTTTGTAAAGTTCACCTCAACCTTAGTATTTATTTTATAATATATCTCTATTATAAATCAAGTTTTACTAAGCTTTCAATTTAGATAGTTTAAAAAAGTAAATATCTCTGGTTTACATATTTTCTGATATGTAACCTTGTTTTTTAAAACAGATTCTAATAGTCTGACTAATTACAACAGTCTTTTTCCAAAGACTAATTTGTCTTCATTTGGCTTTACAGATTCTAGACTGTTTTATAAGTCTAATCTTTATATTAGCATTATTGAAAGTTTAAATTATTTTTTTACTTAGATCTTTCAAGTAGGCTTTTGTCTTCCTGATTCTTATAATTTATATACTTACAAGAACTTATCATGAATTTATACTACCTAGTACTAGTTTGTATTTTTTTGTATAAGGTTGTACAAATATTATGTAATTTTTTAGTCATACTAATATAAAAAGATAGTTAATCATAATATAGAAAAAATTGCAAATTTTTACTAACATTAAAATTTGAATTCTAGTTCTGATACTTGGAGATTAACAACCTGTCTATTTCACTAAGTTATCATACTCCTAGTATAAACAATTTTATTTAGAAGACTAAAAGAGATTTATTTAGTAAATTATTTAATTATTGGCAGTTTATTATCAAAGAGTTTTGGTACAAATGATCATCAGAAAGAGTTAATGATTTGCATCTTTATATAACAAATTATATTTATATATCTTATTATATTTTATATATTTTATTAGTTTATAGTTATTCTTTTTCTTATAAATAATATAAAGTAATAGTTATATTTATAAATAATATTTTAATAAGTACTAATTTTACATTATTGTAATTTAAAAACTATATATAACTGTTAACAGTTTGATTATTAGTATTTTTTCTTCTAATTATATCTTATGATATTTCTAAGTTTTGTATTTAGTAAATTTGTAAAAGATAAACAATTTTGTTATATTTAACCAATACAAAAAGACCAATAAGTAACAAATTCTATTGTTCAATTTTTATAATATTTAAAAAACTATTAACTTTAAATTTCTTAAACATTTATTTTATTTTTTTAATTTCTTTTATTATTAATATAACTAAAATATTTTATTTTTATGAACTTTTTTTTTACAACTACTATTTTATATCTTTTATTAAAACAAAAAAAATTATATATCCTTTTTTGATTTCTTTTACATTTTTTAATTTTATTATTACAAATCTTCTTATTCTTTATTCAAACCAACTTTTTTATTATTTTCTTTTATTATTATCATTTATTTTCTTTTATTACTATTTCTATTCTTATCTACATTTAAATCTAAAATATCATAATATATCTATTTCTTTATCAAATTAATTATTTTTTATTTATTTAATTAATTATAAAATAATAATAATAATATTTAATTATATATTATTATTATTATATTTTTATTACCTTTCTTCTTCATCTAAATCTCTTATTGTTAACAATCTATTAAAAATTTATTCTTCTTTTATTCCTTTTCTAATCTCTTTAATCATATTCATTCTATTTTTTTAAAAAAAATTTTTATTATAATATACATAAAAAAAAAAAGAATTTTTTTTTTAATTTACATTATAGTTCTTGCATTTTCTTCTTTCAAAACTTTAAATTTTTTCTGCTACTGTGTTAAACCCATTCTTTAATTTTATTTTCTTTTTCCTCAACCAGTATAGTAAACATTTTACCTGCAATACCATATTTTTCCAACTAAACTCAGAATTGCCATATTTTAAATCACATCAACCTATAAAATTTTTTAGCTTAATTAGATTATATAAGAAATAAAAATATATGATAATTATATATCATACGAAATTTTACCTTGCCTAATTTTCTCAAATCATCCAATGCTATCCACAAGTCACGCTCTACGATTTCAGAACCGAGAGCCATAGAAACATGAATTTCACTTGTTGAGTCAAATAGTCATAAATAGACAGTTTGCATCGAATTCTTGTTCGATGACGTTACTGAGATTTATGAATTCGGCATTAACTCTATAATATAAATCATATAATCTTTAATAATTCTAAATCTGAAACAAAATTTTAGATTATTAAGAAATAAATACTCTGTCCCTTAATACTGATGCGACAATGCGACAATGCGACAATGCGACAATGCGACAAGATAACTTTTCACCAACACTAACGATGATATCTTTTGAACGAGGGTATACCTCTTCAATGATTTAAAAATAATGATTTGATGTAAAAAAAATGAAGGCAAAATTAAAAAATAAAAACCGCTTTTCAACTTTGAACAATCACACAGTAATTGCTTTTATAATTCATTAAGAATTTCTGGATTGCTGATCAATTCCCTCGACGCATTGATATGTTCTTGCGCAATTTCATCAACTATTTTAAGATATTCTTTTGACCTGAAGTTAATGCTTCCTCAGACGCTTTAAATAACCTTTGAAAATTGAAGATTACGTCATTTTTACTAGTATAGGATTGATAATATATGGGGTCTTTGCCTTGAAAATCAAGTTTGGATCATATGATTTACTATGTCCCGTAAGGTCATTTTCAAGGCAAAGACCCCATATAGATTACTCGAAACTCTCTTATTAGTTGTTTCTTTTGATTTTGTATCGCCGCTTCAAGCCGAACAAACAAGTGGGATTTAAGTTATTAAATATTATATCGCGTCATTAAAGATAAATTTCTTGACTTTATAAATGTGTATACAAACTTTACGATTGTGCCCGCTATGCTGTCTAAAAATTTCCTTATGCTGGTTCTGCCAAATTTCTGCACAACTCAAGACAAAGTTCCTTGATTAGAGATCATAGCATTTGGGTCATGTTTCAAAATTTAATTGACAAAACAGCTATACAAAGGCTGAGCCGAAGATGACAACTTGTTATCTTAAAAAAAAGTATGTAATTTTTTTTGATTGGCTAATCAACAAAAATCTGATTGGTCGTTATTCCAAAGATGACACTTTTATGGTATTTCGTGAAACGATTGATTTTTATCTTGCTCACGTGAAATTCAAACATTTATTCAAAAGAAAACATTAATTTTATTAATTTAAAAGGCAAAAAATACATAATATTGCTTCTAATGAAATTTGATGGAACCACTTGATCCCAAACTTTTATATGAAAGTTAAACCATTTAATTATTCTATTGTAAAAGTGTTATACCCCCTACATTTATTATTCCGTTTTCCCTATTCAGTCTAAAAATTTCTCTGGCCAATCAAATTTCGAGGTCAGGTGTAACGTGAAAAAAGTTCAAGAAAATAAAATCGTCCGTAACTTAAAACTTGTTTATGAAACTGCCTTCTGCGTATTAACAAACCGTTTTCCTCGAAAAAATTTTTGGTATAACTATAATTCTTTAAACCTAACCTACTTACCCTAACCCTAACTTAGGGATTGGAACCGCCTAAAATTTTTCTTAATTGTTGAATTGTTTAGTCGTTTAACCGTTTAATTTGGCCGGCATTAAAATAATTCCGGCCCACGACCAACATAATTCTGCCCGGAACTATGGAGCAATTTTAAAACGGTTAAACGGTTCCTAACCTAATAGCGAAATGGGTTTGATCTACAACGATCTGCAGAAAATCAACCAATCAGACGAATTTCTATGATATGAACAAAATCAAAATTGATAACGTAATACGTGATTTGAGTGATTTGACGAATCTTTTCTTTTATTTATAATTGATAATGCCACCAAAAAGACCCACAACTAGATCAACAAAACGACAAAATGATAAGCGAGAACAAGAAGTTGAGGATGCAGAAGCAGAGCTAATGTCAATGGAAATTGAAATTTCACCGATTTCTTTAAACTCCAAAGGAAACTCGCGACAAAAGTCAAGGAAAAAAAACGCCGAAACGCGACAGAATGAAGTAACGGACATGGAAGACCTGGATGAGGTAAGTAAAAAATCCATATACATATGTATATTTTTCATGAAATAACTTTCAAAACTGTAATACTTGCTAAACAAGAAATTACTAATTTTATAGATGCGAAAATTGTTGCAAGACATTAAAGTTAAGCAGCAAAATTTTGAAGCTTTACGAAATAATGACTTAGACAAAAATGAGCAGAGTATAAGAGAATTCAAAAACAATTGTGAGAAGCGGTCTCAAGGTGATTTATATTTTCCATTTCCCGATACCTCTGCGATTTAATATTTTTATCTTACATTGATTTTATTATTATTTTGTAAGGGTTAGAAGCTATGGTACTTCAATTAAAGCGTCAAATAGAGAATTTAGAACACGAGAAGAGGACCATTTTGAGCCAAAGTCAAGATTCGATGGAGATTGTTGCAACAAGTAGTAACAATTCATCGAGTAACGCTGAAGTAGCCAAATTAAAAGATCTTGGTAACAATTATTTTTTAAGCCAGAATTAATTTATAAATTCTTATTTTAAAACTTATCCTTTAATAATTTAGTAAAAAAACTTGAATGTGATCTTCAAAAAGAGACGGAAAAGAACAAACGTTCTGAATCAGAAATAAAGCATTTACGCGAACAGGGTTTGAACTTTAATTAATTAGAATTTTTTGTATGCATTTTACTTATCTTATTCTTTTTTATTTTATCTAATTCTTTTTATTTCGATAATTTAAAAGTAAAAAATATTGAGAATTCTAACCACGCCGAAGACGTAGTAAAATTAAGAGAACAAGGTCAAATGAATGAAAATTACATAATTTTTTGTTATCTTTTTGAAATATATAGCTTAATTATTTTGGTTTAAAAAAAAATTAGTAAAAAGACTTGAGCTTGAGTTGAAACAAGAATGTGAAAATAGCAAGAAACTTACGGCTAAACTTTCAAAACCATCTGTTTCCAGAAAACTAAATCCAGCTGAACTCGATCAAAAGTCAAAAGAAATGCAAGAACAAGTATCATTATATGCGGAAATGTCCAATCTCTTAATTCAAAATGTAAAAGTGATCTCACAAGATGAAAAAACCTTTAAGTGCCTTCATAGTGGAAGGAATGGAAGTATGTAAATAGTTAAATTGTATTCTGTGCTGCGGACTAAACAGAAATATTCTGCCTTGGCAAATTATTTCATACAGACGAACCATAAAAGTAATTTCGTCTCGCAACAATACTAAATGTTTTAGCAATTTTTATTCGACTAAAATATCCATGTATATTTCTTTTAGCATTGGAATTCAAGCTCTCTTTTAAAGGAGGAGAGGCACATTACGAACCATCTCTCCAGCCCGATCGAGATGCCGACCTTATGGCTATTTTACCCGATTACCTTAAAGAAGCAATAGATTTCAAAAAGGAATCATTAGATCTATTTTTCTGGAGAATCTTGGATTTTTTACAGAGATCTCGTAACGACAGTGATGGCAAATGATAAAGTCATAAAAATTTTTATGAAAATGAGCATAAATGATGCCATTTTAAATTGACAATGTCATTTATGATAAAAAAATTATACAAAATCATGGCAAAGTGACAAGTCATAAAAAATATTGTTATAAATGACATTTAATGACAAATGACAATAATCCTAATACTATCTCCAATAAGCCAGGATATTATTATTACTTGTCTTTGTAAATTATATTTGTTATGCATTTATGTCATTCGTAGATTAGAAAACAATGTCATTTTGCGATTAAGCTTATGCCTAAATGTTAAATACATAAAACATTTACTGTATTTCAAGATTTTCAGCTTGCACAGTTTTACGTATCATGATTTAACATGTGGATTAGGGATGTAAACCAAACTATTTGGGACGACCCAAACTATATGACAATTAGTTTCACATGGTTTTGACAATAAGTAA